CGCATACAATCAGCTTACACTCCTGGCAATCAGCATAAATCCAATTCCCCCAATAACGAGACACTTCGTTTTGAGGTCAAGCAGAACTGCCTGTACTGGCACATACAGCCTCTTTTATTCACAATCCACAAACATAGTACTGCCCACAGGGTTTTGAAATACAATCAATCAATCCGTACAATACACACAGACACTCCCACACAAAATCCTCCCCTCCGCCTATGATATGATTACTGAACACAATGGGTAATATAATTATCACAGGCAGAGAAATACAGTATTATAAAACATATCACAGGGACCCGAAAACATGCAATAACCCCATAAAAAGTATATCCTCAGAACTGGGGGATCTGGGTGAACCACATATCCCAAATTCACCCAGATACGTTCAGTAGTTTGGAGATGCAGTTTAATGCAGATTCCGCAGAACAGCAGAACATATACAGGCTATTTGAAAAATAATTACTGTATAATGTGTCCCCTGTTGTATAGTTTAAAACTACTTAACTATGTCTTCATGCACCAAATACTGGCGAGATGGCACCGTGTAGAAAAGTCCAAACAGTGTCTGTGAGTTAAAATGGCCACCATCCATTGTTCTCACCATGTGCTTCATCCATTGTTCTCACCATGTGCTTCTGATACATGAAATGGTGGCCACCCAGTAACTCCACAGTATGTCCCCATATGGTTCTTAAAGGGCCAGCAGCAGCACAACACAAATCCATTATGCCCAAATCATGTCTTTAAAGGGCAATACATCCCAGGGGCCATAGTCACATGGCAGGAGGCTGGCAATCAGTCCTCTCCAATGCCCAGTGGTGAGGTCGGTTTTGCCACAGCCCCAATACTGAAGGAGTGCGTAGTATAACGTCCGGGAGACAATCCAATATTTATCACCCCAGCCCGAAGCACTCTGGCGAATTGAAATCAGAGTGATGACCCATCCCGATGCCTGAACAGCGACCCTGCTGCCATCCCACTTATCTCCAAGAACTCCCGCAGCAACCTGACCGGGGAGAACTGCTGATCAGTAGCCTTAATCCAAACCGAGATGCCCACCCCCATCTGATCCGTCTTTGACCTCTGGATTAACAACGCAACGTCCCCTGTAGAAACCTTGATATCCGCCATTTGCATGGCGTCCAGCGCCCTCAAACTTGGGGCCACCAACTCGCCTCCCCGCAGGGAAGCAAAGAAGCAAATGGCAAACGCGGCCTGAAACAGGAGCACCTCGTAGTTCGACATGCAGATCTGCGGTAGCCGCTCCAATAGTTTGCACAGGATCTCATAGGAGATGGGACGCCGAGCGTCCGGCCTGCGATCTCTCTTCCATCCCTTCATGACCCGCGCGACACAGAATGCCTTAGTAGCATCCTGGCACCCACACCACAGGAACGACAAGGCCGATAATGTTCTCTCGGCCGCCACTGCCGACTTACCCTCCTCACAGATCAACTCCAACAAAGCCAGCGTAGTCGACAACCTACCTTCTTCCGAGGACACTTCCCTACCCCTGCAGACAGCTGTCCATCTCCGCCATACTGCAGGGTACGATCTCCACGTGGACGCAGCCAGTGACCCCCTCACCAACCGGCTCAGATTGTGGAAATACCAGGTCCCAGACACCCACCGGGCATGAGGTTTCAGTCCGGACCGCCTCTGGAGCCACCTCTCGAAACCGGTCCCACTGAAACCGAGAGAGCGAGTTGGCTATAACGTTCTGCTCCCCAGGCACGTGCTGCACAACCAACCACAAATTCCAATCTAAACAAAGCGACAAAACCAGAGGGGATGAAGACGAAGTCCGGTTGATCACATGGACAACACCGTGTGCACCACCACCTTCCGGTTTGCCAGTTCTGAACCCCATAGTTCCACCACCATGACAATGGGAAAGAGCTCCAGGAACGTTAGGTTACATCCCAATTCGGTCTCCAGCCAGTGGCGGGGCCAGGCCTCCGCGCACCATCGTCCTTGAAAGTAGGCCCCAAAGCCCACTGCCCCGGACGCGTCGGTGTTCAACTTCAAATCCACATTGGACACTGCCGGGCGCAGCCAGCAAGATTGACCGTTGTACCTACCCAAGAATGAGCTCCAAACTTGCAGATCCTCTCGATGTCTGTGGGTGATCCGAATTAAGTGAAACAACTCGCAACCCGGCCATCACCCCCGCACCACCCCAGAACGCACCCCCACATGCCTACTCTGATCCCCGGACTGGGAAGGGAGCGTGCTAGCAGCTGGGCCTGGGAGCCTCTCTAAAACTGCCCTAAGCAACCCCAGCACCTCTTCCCCCCCCCCAAACCCACTACTACCCCTGTCTCCCGCCAGCGCATCCCAAGCGCTGGCACAACACTCACCTGTGGCTCACTGAGGATGCTGGGATGCCTCCTCCTCCAATATAGAACTAGACCCTGCCGAGGTATGGGGGGACCCGCGGTCAGCCTCCTGGGCCGACCGCAATCTTCCACTGTTGAACAAAAGAATAATGGTTCAGCGCTAAATAATCTAAAAGAAACTAAAATAAAGTGTAAAAGCAGCAACCTATAGGAATGAGGTCCCTCAGCAAGCCTCACATGGAATAGGATAGACAAAAATGGGTATATAGATCGCGCTAAAGGGACAGGGAGGTAAAATAAATGGAATAAATAAATATGATAAAAAAGTCCCAAATAATAGATAAACCTGTGTTGTTCTTAGATGAGTATAAAGTCCAAATGGATATCTGAGTCTTCTTATGTTGGGGATGTCTTGATTCGCTTGTCAATAGGTAGATACATAAAAGAAATAAAAGAGAACTCCAATAGTGTAGGGTGTCGACAAAATTTCCAGATGTGAGTCTATAAGTAGATAAAGAACTCACCTTGGCGTGAGCAAAAAAACTTGCTCAAGTATTCTTAGCGTTCAGTGGCGTCAATCCCCCACTGGTCGGATATAGGTGATGAAGTCCTGAGTAATTCCTCGATATGTGAAAAGATGGGAGACGTATATAGTGCTCACTGAATTATATTAAAAACAAAATAAAATGGTAGAATACTCACATGTATATGAGCAGGAACTACTGCTCAGTATGATGGCGCAGGTGGTACAATCCCCACCTTAGGATTCTTGGAAAGTAACGTACTTCAATCCAAGTTGGTAACCAGGTAATTCAAATTAAAAAGGAAGGAATTAAAAATATATATGGGCAAAAATAAGAGCCGGTATTCCTTTATTAAAATATAATATATCAATATATAAAACAAAATAGTAATAGCCAAAACGCGTTTCACCACACAGGGCTTTATCAAATGGCATTAAAAAGAGAGAAAAACCTGGTACAGTAGCTGCTTTTATAAACTAAAAGATACAGATAAGCATTTGAATTTTGGCGCCAAAATGACGTCACTCATAAAATATGCATAATTTAAAACAATTTCAAAAGTAAGAATTTAAGATATAGAAACATTTGTTCCGCCCGTCTCTCGGCTTCAAACATAACAAAGGGAAGGCATATAAGGGCTAGGAAACTAGCCCTATGCAAACAGCATAGAGAGACCTAACAAGGGGAGGGAGGGGAGGAGAAGGAAAAAGGGGAAAGAGGCAGAAAGAGAGCTACTGCAGGAAGCATCCTGCATAGGGAAAAAATGAGTATAGCAATAAACAAAGTACAAAATGAAAAATATATATATAAAAATAAGCAAAATCCAAAATGAAAAATTAAAAAAAAAAAAAAAATGAAATGTAATATGATAAAATAGAATGAAATAAATGAAATAAAATAAACTAAAAATTTTATATTTATTTTAATTTTTATTTTAGTTTATTTTATTTCATTTATTTATTTCATTCTATTTTATCATATTACATTTCATTATTTATTTATTTTTTATTTATTAATTTTTTATTTTGGATTTTGATTATTTTTATATATATATTTTTCATTTTGTACTTTGTTTATTGCTATACTCATTTTTTCCCTATGCAGGATGCTTCCTGCAGTAGCTCTCTTTCTGCCTCTTTCCCCTTTTTCCTTCTCCTCCCCTCCCTCCCCTTGTTAGGTCTCTCTATGCTGTTTGCACAGGTTATATGCCTTCCCTTTGTTATGTTTGAAGCCGAGAGACGGGCGGAACATTTCTGCGCCGATCTCTCGGCTTCAGCATACATTTCCCACAATGCTTAGTTCCGACCACGTGATCGCGTCTAGTCGCGATCACGTGCTTCTTTATATACTATTAAAAATAATGCTCGTTTTACTACTTTAAGCACATAGACATCCTAATACTCCTTTTAATTATGTCTTTACATTCTAAATTTTAACTTTTGAGCATATATAGGTCGCGATCATATGCTCCTTAATGACATCACACTTACATGTGTACAACAATGTTAATAATGCTCGTTTTAACTTATAAATATCTTTAAATTGCATTACAAAATGTTTCTATATCTTAAATTCTTACTTTTGAAATTGTTTTAAATTATGCATATTTTATGAGTGACGTCATTTTGGCGCCAAAATTCAAATGCTTATCTGTATCTTTTAGTTTATAAAAGCAGCTACTGTACCAGGTTTTTCTCTCTTTTTAATGCCATTTGATAAAGCCCTGTGTGGTGAAACGCGTTTTGGCTATTACTATTTTGTTTTATATATTGATATATTATATTTTAATAAAGGAATACCGGCTCTTATTTTTGCCCATATATATTTTTAATTCCTTCCTTTTTAATTTGAATTACCTGGTTACCAACTTGGATTGAAGTACGTTACTTTCCAAGAATCCTAAGGTGGGGATTGTACCACCTGCGCCATCATACTGAGCAGTAGTTCCTGCTCATATACATGTGAGTATTCTACCATTTTATTTTGTTTTTAATATAATTCAGTGAGCACTATATACGTCTCCCATCTTTTCACATATCGAGGAATTACTCAGGACTTCATCACCTATATCCGACCAGTGGGGGATTGACGCCACTGAACGCTAAGAATACTTGAGCAAGTTTTTTTGCTCATGCCAAGGTGAGTTCTTTATCTACTTATAGACTCACATCTGGAAATTTTGTCGACACCCTACACTATTGGAGTTCTCTTTTATTTCTTTTATGTATCTACCTATTGACAAGCGAATCAAGACATCCCCAACATAAGAAGACTCAGATATCCATTTGGACTTTATACTCATCTAAGAACAACACAGGTTTATCTATTATTTGGGACTTTTTTATTATATTTATTTATTCCATTTATTTTACCTCCCTGTCCCTTTAGCGCGACCTATATACCCATTTTTGGCAATCTTCCACTGTGTCCACTGCTGGCCGCCGGCTCCAGCACCGGCGTAATCACCGTGGAACGCACGGTGGAACGCAAGGCCTGTGATGGCCGCGCTCTCCTGCATGGCATGCGCGCTGATGTCACATCCGGTGTGGCCAGAAGAGAAGAGCAGGGGCTGCGCGATCTTCCGGCCTCACCTCCGCCATTGCCGCAGCCGCCATCCCGGACACCCTCAGCAGCCCGACTCCGACGCCTCCCGGGGACCGATGGCTGCTCCAAGTGCGCGACCGAGCCGCCACATCGTCTCCGCTCACACTGCCGGACCGGGCTCAGGGAAAGGCGCGACGGAGGCCTCGATCTCCTGGCCCTCCGTCCACCACAGGCTGACCGGACGCCTCTCCTTCCTCCTGGGCCACGCTCCTCACCCCCGACATTAATTCATCCAAGGCCCCTCGACCGTGGGCCTCGAGGTAAGCTTGCAGAAGACTCTGCAAGTCAGCAGCTGGTGCAGCCATAACAGCAAGACGCACAGGCTCAGGATAGATTCGCCGTTTAGGTGATCTGCCACCTAAAATAATAATTTTATTTTCTGAATTACAGAGGACAGTCAGCTAAGAAAACAGTCAGGAGCCCTCAACTGCCGACTGGTAAGTCCCCTCCCTCTCCCTTTTCTTAAGAACTCCCAACATTAGCAACATTGTTTCTTCCCTGATCCATCCCACAATCTTGGGGAGCAGTCATGTTCCCCCTTCCTTAGTATTTCAGGTGGAATCTCATGGCCGCAAGTTGCCGGCATTTGGGGGGGGGCACAATGTAGGGGGGGCCATGGCCCCCTCTGGCCCCCCTAGCGCCGTCACTGCACACATGGAGGGACTTGGGGTGTGGCCGGGAATGCCACACATGAAAGGGCTCAGAGGGGTTGGGAATGACACACATGGAGGGGCTGTGGGGGTTAAAAATGTCACACATGGAAGGGCTGGGGGTTTGGGAATGACACACATGGAGGGGCTAAGGGTGGAGGTGGGGGGTTAAGAATGACACACATGGCGGGGTTGGAAATGACACATATGGAGGGGCCATGGGGAAGGGCAATAGATGCGTGGAGGGGCTGGGGGGGGAGAGACACATGGGCATAGTGATATCTAGTTATGCCTCTATACAGCGATAACCATACCACAAACAGAGATATAATACACAGAGCTGGGCACAATACAAAGACACCTATACAATACACAGAGCTGTTTTGAATATAAACATACCCATACAACAGGTAAGAGCTGAGTGAAATAAAGAGAAATAACACACAATGTTTGAGAAACTGCAATGATTATATTGCAGGCCTAAGACTGTCTGAGTGACAGTCACTGAGTAAGAGCCACTAAAGGCACTTCCTGTTGGTTAAGAGACTGTTGGTCCCCTGACGCTGGATGTCCTCATCTTCTGCATGAGGACATCCAGAGTCAGTAAGATCCCCATAGGAAAGCACTAAAGCAATGCACATTAACCCCTCCCTTTGGATCATGTTGGAGGAGGCGGAGCAATGAGCCAGCACCAAGGGAGATCAGTGCTAGAATCGGGTAAGTGTCAAAAGGGTTTTTTAACCCTTTCCAAGGAGGGGGAGCTGTAGTGTAAGGAATACAATTTTTAACACTATAGAATCCCTTTACATGCCTCTAGTAGTTGTCGTTCAAGTTTTAAAAACCTGGTGTTCAATGCTCTTTTTCATTTACTGTGTGAGTACTTTTTTAAAACGAAACCAATAAATAAATATATATATATCTCTAATAGTGTAATATTATATACAAAAAAAAACAGAGTATGAAAAATCTCAGAACTTTATTAATTATAATGTGTTAAGTTAATCAATGAATATGAATTGCTAGTGGACTGTAGAAGCAGATTTCTCATCTGTAAAAAATACCTTTATTGCAATAGTGTGCATTATACTGTCATCAATATACTAACATTTTGAAAAAGTAATTTAAAAGATAATAAGGTATTTTAATAAGGCATGTATCTAGTGCCAATGTAACTTTTCCCAGCATTATATCTGAACTCTTCCATCTGACGGCATGCATATCTAGATATTTTTGAATTTGTAACATGTTTTACAACTGGTGCTATCAATCGGAAACTGCAGCAAATCCCAGACAAGCAGACAGGAGTGTAGCATCAGTTGTACATTTGGACATCCATTCTTTGAATATCTTTATTGATCCTCACCTCAAAATAACAGTGGTAGAGAAAACAAAGAGACAAGTGACCAGGATGATTGTATAATGAGTTTTAGAGTCAGCAATGAATATACCTGTAATTGATAATTAAAATAAAAAAAACTTTAAAAAAAAACTTAAAAACTGTTAACACATCATTTAGACAATGTCTAATATATATATTTTCCAGTAGAGCTATTTTGTATTGTTTTGGGGGGATTTTTAAGAAACAAATTCCACATATATTTTTCTATAAGTTGATATGTTTATTTTATTGTTGTTTTGTTTTTTTGTAGAAAATTAATTCAGCACTCCATGGCTTCATCTTCATCTTCACTAGATTGTATAAAATCATCTTCAACATTCTCAAGTATATCTTTCTCTGCATCAGAATCTTCCAGCTCTTCATCACCACCACCTAGTTCGCTTAATATCTGTTCGACATGCTCCAGTAGTTGTGAATCGTCGCATTTCAGCTTGTTGTACAGCTACAAGTAAAACAGAACGAGACATGTTTAGCACAGAGCAGCATGCGGCGTTAATAATTTCACAAAGCTCTTAATGGATGGAAAATATGATGGACTTAAAAGCATTTGCAAATTGAAATCCCGGAAAAAAAAGCACTATGCAACTATTTTGTCTAATTTGGGGGAGGAGACGTAAGCAAGAACATATTTGTTGGGCAGCAATTTACTTCTGAGAGTTAGATGGAAATATAATACCAGCTGAGCTAAGAGTTTCTATGTGCAATGATTGTAACGTAGACTACCAAAACCAATACACTTTAAAACTTTAAAGTTGACGTTTTAGACCAATACAAGTAATTATGAAGGATGGATCAAAAGGCATCTGGGCCTGTCAAATACTTTTTTATTCACAAAAGCATGGCTATTGCTAAAGTTAAACTTTCTGCCTATCTAAAGTCTATTTTGCAGAGTGGAATATTTTACATTTAAGAATGTGATTGCATTTAAAGGCCAAAATAATCATATATTTATGATAAAAAAGCGACTTGAATTAATGACTTGTCAATGGATTTGAATGCTTTTTTTCCTCACTGTTAAAATGTGCTTTCTTTTTCAAAGCAGTAAAAAAGAGAATTGAGTTGAAGACCGTGAAATCATTAGTTGCAGAGAATTTTACCAACAAGCCATGAAACCCAGAAAAATGGAAAATCTAATCACACTTATTAAACTTTATAAAACATAAAATATACATAATCACAAAGAATTGTACTAAAGGCTTAAAGTGTAACTCCAAGCACCATGACCACCTCAAATGCCGCCCATATGGAGTTCCACCCGTCTGCTCTCAAAAGTGTAACGCCACCTCCCACAGTGTCACCAGAACATTCCAGGCTGGCAGTTATCAATTCTGTCCAAATTTCTATGCAGAGACGCTCATTCGTTGGATGAGAGTGTTAAGCTGAGCTCTCGGTAATTGAATGAGTTACTGGATGTTGTGAACCTCCTTACAAAGGATGCCAGGAGTCTTACGGGACCCAGTTTAGAGGGCAAATAAGACTGTAGTGGTTATGATGGTTGTAGCAACCCTTTAAATGTTTATGGATCATAAGCTCTTGGGATTCCTATACCAGGCTTCTGCTTAGCTGACCCTTTTGAAGAATTTGAAGATAAAATAATCCATTCATCTTGTCATCTATTTTATATAGATTAGACATGTGCATTCATTTTCGTACGAATACGATTTCATCCAAAAATTCGTGTTTTTTCATATTCATTTACTAAAACGTAAACGATAGCCCTACAAATGAAATATAAAAGAAACGAAATGGCAAATGCCGAATGCATTACCGTTTTGTTTGTTTAAGAGACTCCGTGCTGCAGGGGAATTAACCGCCCACAGCACGGAGAAAACAGCACTGCGCAAAAAAAACCCAAGGAGGGAGCCGGCAGCACTACCAGCTCCCTCCTTGTAATAATATTAATTCCTACCCCCCATTAAAATCTATGGAGGTCACTATGACCCCCATATTAATAAAAGGAAGGTTAAATCCTCCCGTATGCCGCAAGTAGGGGCATGTCGCCCAAACAGCGAGCAGCCACTGGCTGCTCACTGTCATTGAACACGTAATATAAATCACTAGGACCCCCATATTGATAAAAGGCAGGTTAAATACTCCCACATGCCCCTACTTGCGGCAAGTACTAGTACTAGTGACTGGGCAGCTATTGCTGCCCAGTCACTAGTGCAATAAGGGAGGGCTTGGAACAGGTCCCCCGTCCCCCCCATAGTGGGGAACAGAATATAACTAAAATGGGGGGGACATAGTTTCCCCTCGTGCCCCTCCCGTGACCCGTGAGTGCGGAGCTATTAATATAAACAGGGGGGACCTAATGTCCACCCTGGTCTCCACCCATGTGCGGCAGGTTGGCACTTTAATTAAAGGGGGGACCTAATGTCCCCCCTGGTGCCCACCCATAAGCGGCGGGTGGGGACCTTAAATAAATAAATAATGGGGGGAACCTAATGTCCCCCCCAGGTCCCCACCCATGAGCAGTGGGTAGGGACCCTAATTAATTAAAGGGGGGACCTAATGTCCCCCCTGTCCCCCACCCAAGAGCGGTGGGTGTGGGCCCTAAATAAATAATGGGGGGACCTAATGCCCCCCCCCAGGTCCCCACCCTTAAGCGGCGGGTGGGGACCCTAATTAATTAAAGGGGAGACCTAATGTTCCCACTGGTCCCCATCCACAAGTGGTGGGTGGGGACCCTGTGATGGACCGCCTGGCACCCCGACCGGGTGCATTCGCCAATCGATGCTCCTAGTGCTCACCGAGGACTCCAAACACTCCACCAGACACCATCAGCACCGTAGTCCCTACTTCCAGCGTTACAGCTTGGCTGGGGTCTCGCCGACCTCCACCCACCCTGGACCCAAGACCAGGATCCAGCTTTCAGTGGGCAGACCTCTCCTACTCCTGACAGGTAAGTCTCTACATTTACCTGTCACAGCACTCTGATTGGTTGGCTTGAAATCCAACCAATCAGAGTACTCTGTGTCATTTTACACAGTGTGGGAAAGTTCTTTGGAATTTCCCCATGTTGGGAAATTTGTCTCATAACACTGTGATTGGTTGCTTTCAATTTGAAAAGCAACCAATCACAGTGTTATGAGTCCCCCCCATTATTTATTTAATTAGGGTCCCCAGTCCCCAGCTTGTGGCTGGGGACTAGGGAGGGACATTAAGTGCCCCCCCATTTATATTAATATCCCTCCCCGAGGGTCACTGGTGGAGGTGGGGGGGGGGCAATATGTCCCCCCCTTTTAGTTATTTGTGTTC